AATCTTATATTTTAGTGTAACATGTTATTACTTAATATTTCTGAAGTATAAAATACAAATAGTTTTGAAGATAAGTTTAAAATTTTACTTTTGCGGAAAAACACTTTTAAACTTTAAATACAGAATTTTGTAAACTTTAAAATAAAGATTATTTTTGGAGATACTCTTAGCGTAAGCTTATATGATATAATAACTTTGATCACTGTTAGGTCATAACATTAAAAGAAAACACCGCGATTTCGACGATAATTTTTGTCAGTATGTCGTTGGAATAAGCGTATTGCGAGAGCATACCGACAATTACGGTCGTCGGTAATTTTTCGTCGGAAATTCCACGAAAAATTCCGAGGGAATACCGAGAACCAAAATTCCGAGGGAATACCGAGAATATTTTTCTTGGACAATTTCGTTGGATTTTCCTCGGAACTTTCCAATGGAACATTCCTCGGAAACATTCCTCGGAATATTCTGAGGACACACACCCTCAGAATATTCTGAGGAACTTGAACCCTCTGAATAAACCAAGGAACTGGAGCCCTCGGATTATTCCGACGACTATATCCCTCGCAATTTTCTGAGGGATATTGTCGTCGGAATAATCCAAGGTACAATATCGTCGGAATATTCTGAGGGATAGTCTTCCTCGGAATATTCCAAAAATTAATTTTTTATAAAATTATAAATTAATTGTTTTTAAATTGAAATTTTAAAATATAAAATAAAAATTGAAATTGAAAACATATTAGACAATATTCAAAGTTGTACAAATAAAAAAACATTCAGAGTTTATAAAAAAAAAAACAGAAACTACGAGAACGGCTCGTTCGGGTAGATCCTCTTCATCATCTCCATCATTCGCTCGTTCTGCCTCCTCATTTCCTCCCATCCCGCCTCTTTATCCGCCATCTTGGCCTCCAACGCAGCTATGCGGTCATCTTTGTCCTTCAGCTCCTCCATAACCATTCGATCAACAGAATGCGGTAGTCCAGCAGGAGGAACCGGTTTGGATCGACGACCCAAACCGACCAAACGTCCCTTCTTCTTTGGAACCGACTGAAAGAGAAAATCAAAAAAAATTTAATAATAGAAAAAAAAGAAATAAATGAATTGAACTTTAAAAAAAAAAGATCTTACGGATTCAACGATTTCGTTGATTCGAGTCCGGGATAGGTGGATCGAAGCCGTCGAAGTGGAGTCCAGGTCGGTTTGAATGAGATAGACGGATCTCTTCGTCTTTCTTCAGAGTTTTGACCAGCTCGACCACCTCCTTCACAAGGCCATCATCAATCTCCCCGGTATGCTTGTTGGTATGCGGCCTCTTCAGCAGTTTGAAGTCATCAACCGCCTCGCCTTCATTTTCTTCCGTCTAGAAAAAAACATAAGTTAAAAAGAACATTAGAAATTAGAAGAAATGCAGAAAAATAAAATTAAATACTTAATTATTCAAAAAATAGATTGAACTTACCATGCGATCTCCCAGAGTGGCAATAGACTGGGCACCCAAGTTGTGTATGTACATGCTCTTCTCGCCATGTTTGTTGTTGCGGTTGGTGGAGTTGGTCAAGGAGGAGTCTTTCGTCGCGTCCTTCTCCCAATGCACACACAACTCCTGCCAGACCGTGCTGTTGATCGACTTCGGGACCTTTTAATAAATAAAAATATAAAATAGTTAAATAAATAGAAAAATATTTTAATAAATTCAAAAAATAGTTTAAAAATTTTAAAAATAGATTAATAAATCGGTACCTTATAATCGATCCACTTCTAGTTCCACTCATAGATCTGCTTCCCGTAGTTGTCACTAACTTTATGGACGAAGGCGTTACGGACGAAGGCCGTATGGTCGGGATTCCAGGTGAACTCTTGCTGAAAAAACACAATTAGTAGAAATTTTATATTAAAGATTAAAAATATAACTAAAAAAATTAGAATACTTACCACAAACTGACGAAACCACATATCTTGCTCCTCGAGAGGGAACTGAGTGAAAGTCGGATATCCCTTCTTGAGGTCCGAGTACATCATCCGGTTGATCCATGCGCTAATCCCCTTCCCGGATCGATCGAACCTAATATAAGAAACAAATTATTAATAATGAATCAACTTTTAATAAAAGAAGAAAAAAAAGATTCTTAATTACCATGATTGACGTCGTCCCTTTGGACACTGAGTGAGATAGAGAAAATGGTCACGACTGGGCTGTTGAACCAACTGTTCAACAGTCATCACTTCCGGAACGACTGGAGGAGCGGGAGGGGGTGCAACATCGGGAGAATGAACCTCATCAGAAGGAACCGTATTGGGAGCTGTAGGGTAGGTGTTCTGAAACGATGAAGAACCCCGACATTGGCTGGACGAACCCCGAGAGTGGCTCCCCGTATCACTACGACCTCTCGAGACCGGGGCTGATCACCACTAGACCTGTAAATTAAAAAAAAAAGATATAAAATTAGTTTACTAAAAGTAAATTGAAATATTAAATATTAAAAAAAGTTTAATAAATATAACAATGATTTTAAAAATCCAAAAACAATTTTTAATCACAAAAAACGTTTCATTAATATTAAAAACCAAGACCAGCTACCAGTTTTTGGACCTTGTAGTATGAATAGGGGCTACATTATCGTCATGTAGTATACATTTTACAAAATCAGCAATCACATCCACACAGTCTTCAGCCAAATTATAATATATTTTAATTCCCATTTGTCTTGTTGCAGATGATAAAGCTGAATGACCATCTCTGCAACCTTCGTACAAAGGTTGCTTTCCTGCATCCAACATATCAAAAAATCTTCTACCTTCTGCATTGGGTAAATATTCCCCTCTAAAATGATCATTTACCATATGCTCAGTACCTACACCATAATCTACCTCCATTCTAATTGGTTCTTCTAACCTAACTGCAGACTGAGATTCGCTAGTACTACCATATTCATAATCAGTTTCCCCATGATGATACCAAACTTTGTAACTTCGTGTAAACCCTCTCAAATATAGATGAGTCCAAACATCTAACTCTTCTGTAACCTTTTTATTTTTACAAGTAGAGCAAGGACATCTTAACATATCCGTTTTTTGTTCTGGTTGTCGTTGAACTAACGCCATGAATTCGCCTAGACCGCTTTGGTACTCTTCCGTAAGCAATCTCGTGTTAGGATCCAAAAGAGGTCGATCGATCCAAGAACGATAATAATAAGAAGAAGACATGCTTTTTCAATCAAATTCGTGTGTAAATATAGTAGGTGAGAGGATGAAGATATGGAGTGAATGAAGAGAATGAGGGATGCTTGTATTTATAGATGAAATGTGCCGACAATTCTAAGGAAATTCCAATGGAATTCCGACGACAACGTCTAGTTCCTTGGAATTTCCCCGGAATTTTTGAAATCCTCCAACGGCTCTCTAACAGCTATAATATATCCCCGGATTTTCATCGGTTTTTTCCGAGGAATACACTTTCCTCGGAATACCGTCAGTATATTCCGAGGAAATTCCGAGAAATTCAAAATTTGTGTTTCCTCGGAATGTCCGTCAGAATCGCGATGTTTTCTTGTAGTGTAAGGTTGTTTTATTAACCAACATTTGTGTAAATAAATGTATCATGTAATTTCAATCATTATCAGTAAGAGGATGATTGAACAGATTAGAAGTTTATTGGACTTGGTTGTTAATACTTGGTAATCATTCACAGACCAGGGTTTGTAACTTTCAATAGTTAGCAAAAGAGGTAGACGGCCTATGACTTGATATATAATTTGTCAGAAATTATTGATAAATGCTTTAGAATTGTGCTTAGATTATGCATTTTAATTGTTCCGTTGCCTATATATGCTTATCATGATTTGCACTATTTGGTATCATAAAATGAGTTTAAAAGTTTAGGGGAAACTGTTTTTTTAGACCAAATAGGTTTGGCCATTGTCTCTTTAGTCTAAATTATATTTTGTACCAATTTTGACTCTACTACCCTTTATTTATTTCGGAAATTATTAAAAAAAGTAGATTTATGAAGCAATTTTTTTTAAAAAAATAGTACATAATGATGAAACCTCTATATCTATATAGTGATATTTTTTCCTGTTTTAAAAATGTGTAAATAATAATTTCATATATTATTCTACCGAAATTAGAATCCGTATACTACGGATTAGAATACGGAATCCACTTTTTTCATTATTTCTACGAAATGCAGAATATGTATTCTACGGAGATAACACGAATCTAAAATAGTTTGGAATACACATTCCACGCTTATCATAGAGTTCTAATAAAACTATAAATTGAAATCTAAACTTTTACATAAATCTAAAACTAGTAGAACTCAGAATCTACATTCTCACAACGTTCTAATATATGTAGAAACTGATTTCATATCTTTTTACACAGATCTACCTTTAGTAGAATCTGAATTCTACGGATAAATATTATTAGATCTGAAAATATATCAAGGTCGATCAGATTCTGCTCCGTTTTTTATGTTTTTGTTTAATCATTGAGATCGACCGCTAGGATCGACCGACTCTTTCTGGTATCGATCGATCCCGTCATATAGAGCAATTTTTTCGTGAATTTAAGGGCATTATTGTCATTTGGAAAATATTAAGCTTAATGGGACATAAAAGACTAGAGATTAGTCTAAAGGGACAATGTTCAAACCTATTTGGCCTAAAAAAACTATTTTCTCAAAAGTTTATTGTTAACAAAATTAGAAGTGAATTTATAAAGGCCAAATATAAACGAAACAACGAACAAAGACTTAAACCATATAAAAATGCACACACATATCAATTCAGTTACGTACCATTTATAAAAGAGAAACATGAAAAGTAACAAAATAAATTATAAAAGGTCATTAGAAAATGCAGTTACATATCAAATTCAAGGAAATAATAAAACACGATAGCAGGAAAAAGAAACTTTCAGGTGATTATTCAAAGAGTAAAAATGGGAAAACAATAAAAAGAGTGAAAATAAGCAATGGTAAAGACAGTGTAGAATCAACGTCCGTTGTTGAAGACTCTGCAGTTTCTCCTGATCTCTCCAGCACGTCCGGTAAGAACCCTAATTCTGCCCATTTTCACCATTGCTTCAGCAAATCTCTTTCTAAAGAGTGGATTGCTTTGTGCAAAGCTCGACACAATTCCACGGGTTGACCTATCAAGACCCAAGTTTTGATCAATCCTCATGACTCCTCTTTGCCTTCGTATCTCTCCGTAGATTGCGTTATCCACGACGAATGGAGTCCTTTGGTCCAAGACCGATGGGTCATTTGGAGAACGGCATGTGTTCCTCAACCTTTAAAGAAATGTTTTAGTCGGTCACATATATAATTTGATAAAAGAATAACACATATCTATAGTCTAGTGATTTGTGTTAGTATTCATATACAAACACACGTACCTAGCATTCAATGTGCGGTCCATGGCAGGGTCATTAAGTCTATCCTGGAAAAGACTGCAATGAATAGCACCAACGCTGTGGCCACCACCAATAAGTGTAACCATATCGTTCACATTCATGCCTTGAGCTGCAAATGCTTGGATGGATGCGGCCACGGGAATTGTTGGTCCGGGCAAGTTCACATCATTGGGGCTTGACCTCAATCCATCACGTCTTCCTGTTGGTACTGAAAACCTTGGACCACCAGCCAATGCGACCGAGTCTCTGGTGGCTAGAGTTACAATGTCTGCGCATGAGACTGTTCGGGGGCACGCAACCTCGAGCAGTCTCTTGGCCTCATCAATGATCTCGTAACCTCTCACACTTGCATTTGGTCCTGTGCTTTTCTCTGATGGCCTTCCGGGTCTTGGGTCGATCAAGAGGGAAGCATCACAACCCTACACAATCATATCAAACACTGTTTAGTCAATGCTATGTCAAGACATATATATATTAACAAGTAAATGATATCCAAAAAAAATCGCTAGACGATAATTAGGCATTTGTACTCTAGCACCCTTCTACACTAAAAAAAAAAAAAATTGTTTCGCTTATAAATGATTTTGTTATTGCATGGCTAGAGGGATGGTCTAGAATGGTTATTAGAACACTATTTATGTACACACACAAGGAGAAGCTTACGAACCCTAACAAAGCAGTCATGAAACTGCATACGAAGCAACGCTGCAGTGATGCTACGGTCACGACGGAAACGGTTGGCAACAACATTGTTGGATAAGCTTCTTGCTTGGACAACAAGTTATCTTGAAGATAAGGATGATAACAAAAGAAAAAGAGGTTTAGGATAAAGACTAAGAATTCCTAGATCAAAGTGTAATAGGATAAAGCTAAGGTTTCTATTACTTATATATAGGGATACAATGTAAGGAAGATCCCTACAACATTAAAAAGAAAGTTAAGAAAGAACNAAAGACTAAGAATTCCTAGATCAAAGTGTAATAGGATAAAGCTAAGGTTTCTATTACTTATATATAGGGATACAATGTAAGGAAGATCCCTACAACATTAAAAAGAAAGTTAAGAAAGAACTAATAAAACAAAGCAAAAGTTTTATTAATCCTCTGTTTTTGATCTTAATACGTTCATTCACACAAAGTCAAGACTTTATTTGGTATCAGAGCGAAGGTTGATTTAAGGTTAAGAAACAAATCATGGGAGATCCAGAACCAAAACCACAAGTCAAGATGAGTTCGTTACCCCCTTCAGTCAAGACGCCAATGCTCACCACGACAAATTATGCCGTATGGGCAATGAGAATGAAGGTTTTGCTGAGATATCATGAAGTATGGGAAACCATAGATCCTGGATCAAAGGAACAGAAGAAGAATGATCTAGCTACGGTTATTCTCTTTCAAGGAATACCAGAAAATCTTATTCTTCAAATTGGTGATCAAGAATCCCCTAAGGAGATGTGGGAAGCAATAAAAGCCATGAATGTTGGTGCTGATCGTGTGATCCAAGCTCGGCTGCATACACTGATGATTGAATTCGACCGTCTAAGGATGAAAGACAATGATACTATAGACACGTTTTCAGGAAAATTATCAGAGTTTGTAGGCACAGTAGCCTCGCTAGGTCAAACCATAGACGAACCGAAACTTGTAAAAAAGTTTCTCTCTTGTCTACCAAGTAAGTTCTTGCAAATCTCTGCAACACTTGAACAAGTGCTCGATCTAGACAAGACAAAGTTCGAAGATGTAGTAGGTCGACTTAAAGCTTTCGAGGAACGCTTGCGTGGGGAAGATAAATTGCGAGGAGACGAACATGGTAGCCTGTTATTTTCTGACCATGGAAATAGAGGAAGAGGACGAGGTGGTAACAGAGGTCGGGGAAGAGAAAACAGAGGAAGGGGACGAGGAAGAAGTAATACAGTCAAAGAGAAAAGAGATTACTCTCAGATTGTTTGCTTTAACTGCAAGAATAAAGGTCACTTTGCATCTGTTTGCCCGGAGAAAAAGGATGATGATCAAGAACTAAACGTTGCAGAAACAGAGAAAGCAGACAACGCTCTACTTATGCATGAAATTGTTCTTCTTAACGAAGAAAATATTATACCTAAGTATCAAGAAGTTAAAAGGAATGAAGAAGGTTTTTGGTACTTAGACAACGGAGCTTCAAACCATATGACTGGTGAAAGGCTGTTTTTCTCTGAACTTAACGAGAAGATAAAAGGCAAAGTAAGGTTTGGGGATGGTTCCTACATTAACATTGAAGGAAAAGGTTCCATCTTATTCGAAGCAAAGACAGGAGAACATAAACTTGTACCAGACATCTACTATCTTCCTGAGCTTAAAAGTAATATAATAAGTTTAGGACAAGCCACTGAGCAAGGTTGTGACATAAGGTTGAAGGATGATAACCTTATAATGAAAGATAACAGCGGCAGGTTACTAGCTAAGGTCAAAAGAGGCTCAAACAGACTGTACAAGATATGTCTTAAGATTGGTCAACCCGTTTGTCTACATGTTAAACTCGAAGAAATACCATGGAGATGGCATGCTAGGCTTGGTCACATCAGTTTCCAGACTATAAAAGCAATGTCAACAAAAGAGATGGTATTTGGCTTACCAAATATAAAAGGAGACAATCAGCTCTGTGATTCGTGTCTAGTTGGAAAACAAACTAGATTGTCCTTTCCTCAAGCGACAAAGTTCAGGTCGACACAAGCACTCGGTCTGCTCCACGCTGATCTGTGTGGACCAATAACACCAGCTACACCTGCTAATAACATATTCATATTTGTCATAATAGATGACTGCACAAGGTACATGTGGTCTATATTGTTGAAAGACAAAAGTGAGGCTTATGAAAGGTTTAAAGCGTTCAAGATGTTTGTTGAGAAGGATGTCAACAAAAGGATTGGTACTTTACGTACTGATAGGGGTGGTGAATTTACCTCAACAAGCTTTAACGAGTTCTGCAATAGCAATGGTATAAGACGTCATCTCACAGCGCCTTATACACCTCAACAAAACGGCGTTGTTGAGAGACGTAATCGTACCTTAATGGAGATGACAAGGAGTATGTTGAAAGCTAAAAGTGTACCTAATTACATGTGGGGTGAAGCAGTTCGACACGCAACGTACCTGATCAACAGAGTGCCTACACGTGCTTTGAAGGATCAAACTCCATATGAAAGTTTGAAAGGAAGAAAACCGAATGTGAGTCATATAAGGGTATTCGGCTGCACCGCACACGCAAAGGTTGATTCTGTCCATCTAAAGAAACTTGATGATCGATCCCAACCTCTTGTACACTTAGGCATTGAACCCGGATCTAAAGCCTATAGACTTTATAATCCAAGCACAAGAAGAATAATTGTAAGCAGAGATGTGATCTTTAGTGAGAATGAGGGTTGGAATTGGAAGGGAGCTAATGTTGAAAGTTTTGAAAACAGAAGCTCAGGTATGTTTAATTTAACATGGGGATCTACTAATGACGAAGGCTATGGCCCTTTCACCATTAGTACGCAACAAGCAAGCAATACTCAAACAGAAACAGAACCTGTTGGAGCAGAAACAGAACATGCCGAAGTAGGAGCAGAACATGTCGAAGCAGAAACAGAACATGTTGAAGAAGAAACCGAGCATGACCATACGCAAGAACTAAGACGATCCACTCGTGTATCCAGACCACCTTCTCATCTCAACGATTATGTTATGATTGCAGACATGGAATGTGAGACGTTACTCTTTGTTCTCAATGATGAGCCGATCAACTACAAGGAAGCAAGTAAAGACAAGCGATGGAAAGATGCCTGTACTGATGAGATCGACTCAATCAACAAAAACAAAACATGGAAGTTGATTGAGAAGCCACCAGGAGTGAAAGTTATCGGACTCAGATGGGTTTTCAAAGTAAAGAGAAACGCAGATGGTTCAATCAATAAGTTCAAGTCTAGACTCGTTGCAAAGGGGTATGTCCAAGAACTTGGTGTTGATTTCGAAGAAGCATTCGCTCCGGTTGCTCGGCTTGAGACTATTCGTCTCTTAACAGCACTAGCAGCATCGAACCAATGGGAAATACATCATATGGACGTCAAGACAGCGTTTCTACACGGAGAACTTAATGAAGATGTCTATGTCACTCAGCCAGAAGGATTTGAAAAGAAGGGAGAAGAACATAAGGTTTTCAAATTATCAAAGGCCCTATACGGATTAAGGCAAGCTCCAAGAGCCTGGAACACAAAGTTAGATCAGATTCTGAGAAGACTAAAATTCATCAGGTGCTCAAAGGAGAACTCCGTGTATCGCAAGCAAGATGGAGAGACACTTCTGATTGTTGCTATTTACGTAGATGATCTCTTCATTACCGGTAATGTGAAAGCTGCAATCATGGATTTCAAAAGTTCAATGTCAAAACAGTTTGAGATGTCCGATCTTGGAAGATTAAGCTACTATCTTGGAATTGAAGTAAGACAATTGCCAATTGAGATCAAACAGGAGGCATACGCAAAGCGTATAGTAGATGAAGCAGGTCTGAGCTCTTGCAACGCAACACTCATACCTATGGAGTTTGGCCTCAAGTTATCCAAAGCAGCAGAAGAATTAGAGATAGATGCAACTGTCTACAGACGAAGGATAGGCTGTCTCCGGTATCTTCTCCACACTAGACCTGACTTAGCTTTCTCGGTTGGACTTCTAAGCCGTTACATGCACTCTCCACGAGAGTCACATGGGAACGCCCTTAAGCAAGTATTAAGATACCTAAGAGGCACACTAAGCTACGGTTTACTATACAAGAAGGGAGGAACGAAGAAACTAGTTGGCTACAGCGACAGTAGTCACAACACTGATATTGACGATGGTAAGAGCACTACGGGTCATCTTTTCTGTTTTGGTGATACACCCATAACTTGGTGTTCACAAAAACAAGAAATAGTGGCCCTCTCTTCATGCGAATCAGAGTTTGTTGCAGCAACAGAGGCTGCAAAGCAAGCCATTTGGCTTCAGGATTTATTGAACGAGATCACAGGAATGAAAGCTAAGAAAACTCTGATCAAGATCGACAATAAGTCAGCTATAGAGCTAACAAAGAACCCAGTCTTCCACCGAAGGAGCAAGCATATCCACAAGAGGTTTCATTTCATACGGGAATGCATTGAGAGTGATCAACTTGATGTAATACACGTCCCTGGTAAAGAGCAACTTGCGGATGTACTTACAAAGGCTTTGGCGAAGACATCATTCAAGGAGATGAGGGAGAAGATCTGCGTACAAGACTTAGCTCAGAAGAACATGAAGCTTATGGGGGTGAATGTTGGATAAGCTTCTTGCTTGGACAACAAGTTATCTTGAAGATAAGGATGATAACAAAAGAAAAAGAGGTTTAGGATAAAGACTAAGAATTCCTAGATCAAAGTGTAATAGGATAAAGCTAAGGTTTCTATTACTTATATATAGGGATACAATGTAAGGAAGATCCCTACAACATTAAAAAGAAAGTTAAGAAAGAACNAAAGACTAAGAATTCCTAGATCAAAGTGTAATAGGATAAAGCTAAGGTTTCTATTACTTATATATAGGGATACAATGTAAGGAAGATCCCTACAACATTAAAAAGAAAGTTAAGAAAGAACTAATAAAACAAAGCAAAAGTTTTATTAATCCTCTGTTTTTGATCTTAATACGTTCATTCACACAAAGTCAAGAC